AGTGGAGAGTGCCTGGCAGATTGCACTTGAGGCACAGCAGCAGCAGCATCTGTACTGGGTGAGCACCAACAACGGTATGCCCCTGAGGCACAGTGACCCCCAAGAGCCAGATGGCCCCCATGGGCCTGAATGTGACCCAACCAGGTCAGTGGGCCTGTTATTCTGCCCCCTGAGCCCTGGCAGTGGCAGATGGCACCCATCCCCCAGCAACAGTCAATGTGAGGCATGCCCAGACCCATGATGTCTATGCAGACCCAAGGTGCAGCCACCTCAGAGCATCTCTCCAGGTGCCCTGAAGGACCTGCTGCGGACCCTGAAGTCTCCCGGCTCCCCCAGCAGCAGCATGTGCTCAACATCCTCAAGTCAAACCCTCAGCTGATGGCAGCTCTCATCAAATAGCACACGGCCAAGTAAGTGGCCAGCCAGCCTGGCCTTCAGCTCTAGCCCAGCCTGCTGAACCTGAACGCCATGCAAGCCAGCGGGGCACGACCTGCTGTCCCTCCACAGCAGCAAGCAATGGGAGGCCTGAACCCCCAGGGCCAGGCATTGAACATCATGAACCCAGGGCGCAACCCCAGTGTGGCGAGTATGAGCCACAGCACAGAGAGATGCCACAGAGCAACAGCAGCAGCAGCAGCAGCAGCAGCAACAGATAGGCAGCGCTGGCCTGGCTGCAGGTTTGGCAGGACACGCCCAGTTCCAGCAGCCTCAGGGATGTTGACACTACCCACAGCCATGCAGCAGCAGCGGATCCAGCAGCAGATTGGGTCCCAGGCCAGCCAAACCCTGTAGGCATACTCTGTACCTTTCCCCTGCCCTCAGTTTCTCCCCTGCGCTCAGCACTTTTCTATTGTCCCCGCTTGAGGCTCCTGCCCTCTCTGCTGTTTTCCTGTTATTTTCATCTCAGGTGTCACAAGAGAAGCTAAGCAGCCAAGAAAAGCAACGCTAGACCCAGCTTCCTGAAACCGCCTGCACCTACGTCCGGCCCACACAGAGACATAAATATCCTGCCCTCCGTACTCTTGCTTGCTGAAATGGATACACTGCTGTGTATTAAAATAAAATTTATAAAACTCTCACAACGTCTCTTGGCCTATCTCCTGTCAGCATGGACCTAACAAACCCCACGAACCCCAGCAGCACATGCTCTCAGAGAGCCACGGGCCTCACCTCTCTGGCCAGCAGATGGCCATATCCCTCAGTATCCAGGTGAGATCTCTGGCCCCTGTCCAGTCTTCAGACCCCAGTCCCAGCCTCCACATGCCAGCCCATCACCACAGATATGCCCCAGCCTTCACCACACCATGTCTCCCCCCAGATTGGTTCTCCCCACCCAGGCGTCCCAGTCACCATGGCCAGCTCCATAGATCAGGGACACTTGGGGAACCCCAAATATGCAATGCTACCACAGCTAAATACCCCCACAGGAGTGCATTGCCAGTGAGCTGTCCCTGGTTGGTGACATCACAGTAGACACCCTAGAAATGTTGCGGGAGCGGGAGCAGAGGTGGCGCCACCTCAGGAGAGGCCTCAGTGCAGGCCCTTCCGCAGAGGCAGCGGGAGAGGGGGCTGCATGGTTCCGGTCCCAGTGCTGCCCATTCTGCAGAGGCAGCCACAGTGTCAGTGGCACGGGCCAATCCCGGCACCATGCCTCTGCAGAGGCTGGATGGGGTGCGACCTGCTGTGCCTCAACCTCCTCCAGCCCCTCCCCCAGCCAGCCTGGCCCCAGATCACCCCCCACCCACCAGTAGGCAGGGGGCGGGGCCAGCGCTAAGAAACGCAGGCCGAGGGCTGGCAGCTGCGGCGGCCAGCAGTGGCAGCAGCAGTGGGGTGATGGGGGCAGCGCCTTCCCATGATCGCCTGGTCACCTCCTGCAGAGGGAGGCCAGACTGTGGCTTAGGAGCGGGCCTTAGCTGTCAGTAGGACATCCCCTGAGGGCTCCTGGGCTGTGAGAGGGGGCAGGCCGGGCTGAGGGACCCCACCCAGTGCACAAATTTTTGTGCACCGGGCCTCTAGTATCAAATAATGTTCTTACTACAGAAAATATACAAGAATCCATAGATCTTTATCACTAATTATATATATACTGGAGGCCCAGTGCCTGAAATTTG